CCTGAACCCGAAACCCTGAACCGTGAACCTTGAACCAAACCAAAACCCAAAAAAAAAACTGAAAAACGCTCTGAACTTGTCGCACTTTCCTCCGCTTCCTCTCCCTCACGGAATGGCTGCTAAACGACCGCCAAACTCCCTTACTGCTCTAAAGCGGAACAGTCAACCCCCTCCTATGCCGTCAGGACCCACCCATGCCCCACCAGTCAACAATGGCAGTGTTCCAATGGCTGTCTCTCAAACCCACAGCCTCTCTCTCCTATATCTTAAAAGAAATCATTCCTTTCAATTGCATCAGGCGAACGCCAACCTTTAATCCCTCCAGCCCAAGAACTTTTTTGGTACAAAGATCGACCTGCGGCATTTTTTTTTGAAGACGAGATCGCAACCTTATCACAACCTTTGAAGCACTCCATGGTCAATAAGTTTTCTAGAATGCCGAAATTGAATGATATCCGAACCGCCTTCAAAGGTATCTGGCTTAGTGGAGCGTTTGAGATCCGGTGGTTAGACTATAAACATGTTTTGATTCATCTTACTAATGAACATGATCTTAACCAATTATGGCTGAGACAGAATTGGTTCATTGCTAATCAAAAGATGAGAGTGTTCAAATGGTCCCTGGATTTTCAATCCGAAAAGGAGTTGTCATTTGTCCCAGTTTGGATCTCGTTTCCTGGACTGCGGGCTCACTTGTTTGAAAAATCTACGCTGTTAATGATTGCCAAGACAGTGGGTCGACCTTTTTTTGTGGTTGAAGCCACTGCCAATGGATTGTGGCCTAGTGTTGCCAGAGTTTGTGTCGAGTATGACTGTCAAAAGCCACCTTTGGATCAGGTGTGGATAGTGACCCGAGATAGACGGACCGGCTACATAACTGGTGGATTTACGCAGAAAGTGGAATTTTCTAAGCTTCCACCGTATTGTACTCACTGTTGTCATGTGGGACATGAGATTTCAGCATGTATGGTTTTGGGCAATAAGCCACAATCTACAGGCACTTTACGGCAGAAGTCCTCATTGGAAAGCAATGCTACTATGAGTAAAACTCAACGGATTGAGAAAGAAGAGATAAAAGTTAGCAACCCTGACGAAAAGAAGGATAAAGACCCCCTTCATCCCGAGCAGGAGAATGATGTCGGGAAACAGCAACGAGAAGGAGAGGGTTATGTTTCAGTGAATGCTGGTAACAAAGGGAAAGCTCCGATGAGGATGGAAAATAAAAAATA